TTTTTTTTTTTTTTCATAATCCTTGTTGCATAATGTTACATCTCACCCCGGTGGATATGGTAATGTCACATCTCACCTCAGGGTATGTTACAACTAACCTGGACGGGGTGAATTGTAACATTTCACTCTTTGTGTTTGAAACCAAACTATGCATTTTCTGTTTGTGCTGCAAAGATAACAGCCATGCCATTTAATAGCGTACACTTCTAACTAGTTTGAATCACATTTTGAACGCAATGGCTTAAAAGAACGCCAAGATACTGACAGAAATGTCAAGCTTCCCTAGACCTATAAGACTAAAAAGAATACTGCACTGGAAATGATTTTCGACTACAATAGTAAGCAGCAGAAAGTACTATGCAGTACGGGACACTTGTATACTAATTTAACTAAATAGCCTAATTCACACAATTTATTTATTTATTTATTTTTAATCCGCTGAAAACCTCGCCCTCCAAAGATAAATGAGACGACCTGCTGACATAAAACTCCAGCATGTAAAATGATTGACAGGCAAAGAGTCTTTTTGATTGCCCAGGTATTCTCTTTTTCAAAGTTTAGTGAAACAGGTGAGAAAAAAACAACACTTACTCCACCTTTGAAGCAGCACATCATCTAGTGAGCAAACGTGCACTATGATGAATTAAGAGCACACTGATTGCGATCATATTCTCACAGAGAACAAAATAATATTTAGCAAAACAATACTAAAAAAGTTAGTCAGTCTTCAATCTTAACGCGTTAAATAATATAATTAGCCTGCTAGACCACAAACAACAGATTAAAAGTCTGTCCTAGTTATGAAGATGAAGAAGTGCATTCTATAACTGTAAATGGGTGAATAAATACATGAGGTTGTGCGTACTCACAGTTGTAAAAGATGACAACCACAGCATCATGCGAACCCACGAGCGCATGTCTCCAGTCGTGTCCACAGCGCGCGCTGACAGCAGTAGTTGGAGCAAATGCTTTATAGACTGACTCTGACCAATCAGAGGAGAGAGAGAGGAGAGAGAGCACATCATTCATAATCCTGCACAAGGCAGGTTAAAACCATTGCATCTCTGC